ACCGCAATACAACGGGCTGGCTTGACTGTGTTTTCCGAAGTGGGGGCTGGCTTGACCACAGTCTGTTTACCCAGTGTTTCCTGACATGAAACGTTTTATTTCACCTTGCTATGTGTTTTTAACGTATATTAAAAAAACGGGGACAGTTTCAACCGGGGACAGGCCAATACAAACGGGGACTGTCCCCGGAAAACGAGGACGTCTGGTCACCCTAGTGTGCGTTCCATTTTCACTCTACAACGAAGAGCTCATGGGACTTTCCCGAACCTGTGTCGAGAGCTGGAGTTAAATGAAATCTCAGATTTGACTTCTTAATGGTTTGTTTGGGTCCCTCACTTCGGTTTCGCTTCTCATGCACTGATTCGCTAGCTGAACAGCCAATCAGAGTGATTTCTTTTGCTGACAGCCTTTGGCCGACTGCCCACCGATTCGACATGTTGAATGGGTGGGTTTTCGGCCGAAAAGGTGTCGGGACGGCTGAAAAGACACAACGGTGCGGGACACACCAATCTGAGTAGGGCGTGTCGACGGTCATCGTCGGCCTGACCCCCATCGACGGCCAAAATCGGCTTGGTGTGTCCGGGCCTTTATACACAGTTAATCTCACACACACTATTCTATGAACATATAGGTTCACCTTCTGAATTAAAAACAGAACAAATGAACCAAAGAAAGTGAAAACCATAAAGCAGATTCAGGCAGTAGGCGTATAGATTCACACTTAAAGTATTAGCCTACAGAACAGTAGAGCTTACAGAGAGGAGAGAACATCTGATCCTTTCAACGAACACTATAGAGATCCACTAGTTTCTAAATATACCAGTCATTTTATTACATTTTTTGGATGTAACTGTAAGGGAATAGTGTTTAACTATTTACATAGTTAAACACTGTACCTGACTCATTTTAAAATAGCTGGTTAGTTTTGAGAATATCACGTATTTGTCAGGTGGTGCGATCTCTCATCATTTATTAAAGTCCAAGAAAATACATCCAGCAGGAATATTTCATTTTCCGTGATCACAATATTGTAAAGACTGTTATAATGAGCCCATCTTAATGTTGAAAGTGTTATCTGATTTCACGTAGAAAAGGTTATCAAATAACACATTTTAGGCCAGTAGAGCAATATATCTTATTTTACAGCTGTTACAATTGGCTGCTAATACTGTAATAACACGGTTGTAAAATAACAGTGTAATATATAGTTTTACTAGTTACTGCTGTTATTACTGGATGCTTCTTCATTACTTGTATAGGTTAATTCACTTTATAATGCTGCTACCTACTGTATCTTTAATACCTTGGATATGTACTTATCTAATGTACTTTCCTTTTTATTTAATATGTAAGTCTACTCTTTTATTATGTCTTTATCGGCAATGTCCCCTTAATGTAATGTCAATTTCCCCGCTGGTCAACGTATAAAGGATTTCTGATTCTGATGTTCGAGGGAAACAAAAAAAGTCTAATGAATCTGAGCAAGTAATGTCTGGAATTAGTGTAATAATAAGTGTTTCTGTCAGGCTAAAAGCCACATAAGAGTGTGGGATAACAGCATTTCACCGGCAGTCAAACACGATCATCATTTTCTATCTTAGGCTGAACTCTTATGGCCACTGAGACGCATATCTTCATTTGAAAAGAAAAAGGTAAATGTAAAGACTCAGAATAAAAACCTATAATATCTCAGCAGGATATCTCCGTGTGTCTGGCCCTCCGTATATTTCAGTAGCACTTCTTCCCTTATTGGCATACCCATTATGCTCCTCATCGTGCCCTATTCACGGGGACAGCAGTGTCAAAGAGGCTTTTAAATGGGCCTCTCCAGCCAGATACAGCTGATGGAAATATGTTAGTGGCTATGTTCACTTTCAGCAAGGCCCAGAGCCACGTTAACAGGCCCACTTAATCAATACTGGAAGACAGAGGGATGACCTTTGGAATCAGTGGGGCCCTATGGACGAGGCCCCAGAGATAATAACTGATCATTTAGAAGTGTATTAGCTGTCACCAATATTAAAGGACCAGAGCAGGTCAGCACTCAGGAGGAAACCGTGGGGGGGTGGGGGGTGGGGTGTTTTGGGGAGGGTTCCGGAGGTGGTGTGTGATTGTGTATGTGTGTGTGTGTGTGTGTGTGTGTGTGTGTGTGTGTGTGTGTGTGTTTGTGAGAGCATTGTGAGTGCTGCTCTGCAGGCAGTCCATGGTGCAGGCAATATCGAAAGGTAAAGGAACAGCAAGCCATTGCAAAAATGTTAAGTGCACAAATGCAGAGCGGATGACAATGCAGCAGGATCAATTGTGAGGCCCATGGAGCGCAAAGGCATATATGCAGAGACAATGATGAGCATAGGGGCAATGACACATGTGTCAACATGCACACAAACACACCACAGCCGGTAAACCCAGTAAAACTCAAATATACATGTTTATATTTAAAACCGTTAATTTTTCAAAGATGTCGAGATGCTTCAGAAAAAATGGCAAAGAATCATTTTCACTTTGGAACTTTGACTTGTGATTAATGGTGTAATGTGAGAATGTGACTTGGATCTTTAAGTGAAATAAATCCATCTTTACTGACTGTTCAGCTAAAGCCGTTCACTTACTAAGTTTCATATTTGTCGTTTTGAAAGGCTTTCATTTATTTGTTTCATAAGTACCTGCATAGAGCTGTTCTTAAAATGCTCTCTAAGTGTTCATCAAGGGTTGTGAATGCAGCACGGAGGTGTACGTTGGCAGAGGACTTTACACCTACAATTAAAAATGTAAAATAACAGCTGCTGTAGCTCCAAATGATCATTGTGCAATTAGAACCCCATATGCAATTCATCTGATGTGAACAGGTGCTCACGATTGCAGGAAGAACTTATAAGTGTGTTTTTCAAACCTATTACACCCACCATTGTCCCTGTCACTACAACATTTGACATTAATATATATAAATATATATATGATTGTTATTTCATTTATTTAACTTATTTTATCGTCCATTGTACATTCTTACTTCTTATGTTTTATAATGTATTTTATTTATTAATTTCAGGTCGATGTAATATGACTGCAGTAAAGCATTGACAGGATTGAGAGTTGAATGGAAAACACATTGTTTAACCTAATTGAATACATGCAGTCTATGACATTAGTAGGGAATCTGTCCAATAATAAGAGACCTTAGCTGAAGTCATGCATACACAGTTCTACACTCTATTGGTCAGGTTCTCCAGCAAAGGGTTGAGAGCGAAAGGGAAAAGTGACCGGGCGGGCAGCATTCCTGTCTGAACTTTGTTTACTGTTTCCCTTCTGTGTGTGTGCGTGTGTGTGTGTGTGTGTGTGTGTGTGTGTGTGTGTGTGTGTGTGTGTGTGTGTGTGTGTGTGTGTGTGTGTGTGTGTGTGTGTGTGTGTGT